CCCCAAAACCCCAAAACCCCAAAACCCCAAAACCCCTACGATCAGCTGTAATATTGAAGTGTAAGACTAGAGCTTTGTATAAATTTGCTTTTAGGATTTCTATCTAAAATCTTTCCGAATTTTCCCTTGCTTTGTCCATTCAAGCTTGTTAAGATGAAGAGATATTGCCATAACTATTAGGAACAGAGAGAACAGAAGATTGATTTAGGAGAAGACTTGAAAGAGCAGATTGTCATTTTTATTAAAACAAATACTAAAAATTTCCCAAAAAACTTTATTTTGGGTATCTGTCGAAAGTACACCATAAATAATGAGGAAAGCCAATAAGCTACTAGATATTAAGTTTAAAAGTGAAGTTCTTTTAGATTACACTCTAAGCATAGAAGAAGGGACTTATAGTTTGAGTAATCATATCATAATGCCTGAAACACTTTCTTTTACCTCTCTATCTAAGCTCTAAAATAGTCTTCTTTGAGCATAAATTTTAGCTTATGACATTTCGAGCTACACAAAATAAAGAGATGTGTCAATTGTCTAATTTTAAACAGCCTAACTGCCTTGATAAAATTGAAGTAGAAGCTTAGATACTGTGGAGAACTTTTAGAAACCTCAACAACAACTTAGTAATTTTATAAAATTAGTGATCCCAAGTGAATTTAATTGATTTTAAGCATAATGAGCTTTAGCCAAAACTTTAGTGAATGAAGAATCCTCAGAGGAGAATTGAAGATGGAAAGTAGAAAACCGTATCTTTTTATATTTATTTTTAGACAAAGCTTAATAAAGGTGATGTAGGAAAATTTAACCTACCATCTCTGTTATAATTCCTAAAGTCTGCTGTGAGTTTCTGGACAAACGAGTAGTTTTCCAATTTTTAAAAAATTTAGGAAATCAAATTATTTTAGAAATGTCGGATGGCTTGGTAAAAAATTAGCCTATCTCCTTAAATTTGTATCCAATTATTATTTTGTATATAAAATATCACCAATGATGACAAAGCATTTATGCATCTATGAGATATGCTAGTATAACACCCATTATTCCCAAAATTGGAAGGTTCAGGAGCAATAGGAAGTGACAATTTTCCGAAAAATTTATGAAAGATGGAGGTCTAATTGAGCGAACGGTCTTGACAACAAGCTCAGAAATTTGAGACTAGTCTTTAGGTATTGTTTGATATATTATTTAGTCGGATAAATAGACTTAGTGTTGATATTCACTCAAATCCGAGTTATTCTGAGAAATTTATAGATTCTGAATACTTCCCAAATGCTGTTATATCCCATTATTTTAATGATAGCCTCTATCAAGAGAGTTTTCGGATCAATGTAAGGAAGCAAGATTTTGTGCATTTTTAGGTTCTTGGTAGTAGTCTGATTTCATCTCTACCCCAAGGAAAAAGGGAAAAGTGCTACTAATTTTGGAATAATTAAAAATTTTGGAGTTTTAGATAAATTTTGCAATAATGAGACACTTGGGAAAACTTTTTCTTTTAAATTTTTTTAATTTATGGAAATTAATTAGGATACTCATTTTTGCGAAAATTTGCGAGTATTTAGCCTATTAATTTGCTCCAATATCGTTCATTGTCACAAGGACATATTGCTCATCTTTAAATGTAGCTGATCTATCTCTGAGCTTTACAGGTGTTAACCCAGATTTGAATGGGTTAAATCAATAATCATCTTGCTCCTCTCTCAACTTTCTGGGCTTTCTTGGCAAGTGTTGCACTTCTGAAAGGTATCTTTTTGGAATCATCTTCATATCTGATTCAGCCATACTACTCATTCTCCTTCGCTTCACAAGTGTTCCAAGTAACTCTTTGATAGAGTTACCAGATTTCTTCAGGTTATTAACTTGGTTATTCTTGGTCATAAGCTTCTTGCCTTCTGTAGCCTTCTCCACTTTAACTGTCTTACATAGAGTATCATTATGTTTCATTCAAAATTCTTTAAAACTATTTTGAATCTTCTGTTTGGGTTTGTTCAAATTCATTCAACTATGATTTTCTTGTCTAAACCTTGGTTAGATTTTCCCTCAAAAGTTATTTAAAATAACACCAGAAGTTGATCATATCATAGTCGAAGGTAAACTTGGTGAAATAGTGCGCAATATTCCAGTTGTCACCTCTCTTATATAAAAAGATATGCCACTTTCTTACTTCTCTAACTCCAGATGCTAATTTTTCAACAAAGATTTTTCAAAAACATGAAAAATTCTTGGTTATTTATTTGGCCACAAAGGCATAAGTTAACCGAGGATATAAGAAACTGTGGTTTTACAAATACATTTTTGTGAGGAATTATGTACATTCTCAAACAGGCTTACACAGAAGGTGATGTTATATGAATGCCAGGCTTGAATGCTTTCACAGGAGTTTGATGTCTCACTTCTACTGTTACAGATTCATCATCGATATCTTGTGACAGTTTGGGAGTGAATTTAGTTCATTTATAAGACTCTACAACTCAGATTAGGATTTGTATAGCAGGAGAAGACTTAATAATGTAGAAGTAGTTAAAAAGCATGCTAACATACACCCTCTTGATAATTTTTCAATAAAAATATTTTCCTGAAAATTAAAATTAATAAGAACTAGGTGAACAAATTTCGATCAAGAAAAATAAGCAAACAGCTGGTGAAAGTTTTGAGACACGGATCAGACAACAAAAGAATTATTAGGAAGATAAATTGGATATTCACTACAAAAATTAGGGAAATTTTAGGATTCGATATACACTAAATGCTGATCTTAGGACTTATTTCGTCAACTTACCTTGAATTGGAGAGCAGGAGAACGATTTATAACTGGTATTTTTAGTTTTCTTGAGCAAGTCTACTAGTTTATCTTGTCCCTTCCATGTTGCTCTCTTTGTAAGGATTGCAAGTTTTTCTTCGCTATGGAGCTTACTCTGGTTTCTCACTCAAGAGGGGTGAGAGAGTGCTACTCTCAAGCCTGGAGAATGTGGAGAGGCCTCCTCATCAATTTCATCGTCAAAATCTCATCTTCCTTCTTCTTGTTTCCAGAAATCAATACTTTTCATGTTGAACTAATCAAATTAATTATTTAACACCGTCAGCCGTATGACTATTCCATGGGGTTTTGGGGTTTTGGGGTTTTGGGGTTTTGGGG